ATTAAATTTTAGAACTCCCTCCTTAAAGTATTAAGCATTTTGCTGCTGTGGTGCAGTTAAACCACACACTGAAAAATGCTTTGAATTGCTTTATTGGAGGGTAGTCATAATGAAACAGGAGTCATAATGAAATAAGATATTCTACACAAAACTCATTCTATACAAGCCTCTAATATCAAACAAACAACACAACACATTCCTCAGCTTAAGTACAGATTTGTTTAAAAAATATGACATTTGCAGTCACTGTGTGTGAATAAACAGCACTGTTGGTCAGCAGCTGCTCAGGAAGGTCCTGTGTACCATGGGAGAGCAAGGAACTGACTGCTGATTTTAAGAACAGAGGCTCTATTCCTGGCACAAATACAGAGACTAGTTTGAAAACTCCAGTGGCTGACAAGATGCTGGATTATGGACTTCACCATAGCCCAGAGCCATGGAGGGAACCTGCTTTGATGCAGCTCTAGTAAACAGCAATCAAAGGGCAAGTGGAAAGGTTGTTATGAAAAACAGAGGAGGCAAGAAATGGACAGGGGTTATTATTCAGGAATTTTCTGCTCTTTTCATTTGGTTAATTTAAATATTTAACAATTGAAATTAACAAGATATTTAGTTGGAATATAGAAATGTTTTAAAATCCCCTTTCTCACCTACCAATCCACTGCAGTATGGATGCTGAACACTGAGAGTCACAACATATCCATAGGGCCCTGTGTCACAGTCCCCCACAGCTGTGCTGCCTGCCTGGGCTGGTGGGGAGGAGCAGGAGACCCCTCTGTCACAGGGCTAGGGGCTCTGCTGTGATACCAGCCACCATCTCCTCCTCAACACTCACTCCTCTCCATAGGCTCAACATTTCTCATCCCGTTTCTCTTGCCACATGTTTTTGCTTTCTTTACTAAATATTCTGTGCTTACAAAACCAAAGAGAAATTAAGCAAACTGCAGCAAACACAAAGCAGACAGCAGAGACGTCTGAATTCCCAAAACAGCACACCATTTTTGCCCATTTTCAGTCAATTTCCACACCCTCTCACACACCCAACACAGCACCATTCCCCTGTTGCAGCCACATCATGTCCAGCACAGAGCCCCGATGGACTTGCAGGTCAGACACTGTCACCCAGGGATCTTTGGAAAGCAGACACTTGTGAAAACAGAGCCATGACTTCAGTTAGAAACCCCAAACAGGTCAGAGCAACCATGCTAGTGCCTATTTCTCTCCAATGAAGAGAGCCTGGAAAGGAAGGAGAGGGTCATGTTCAAAAGGACAAGTACAGCAGATGACAGTACTATCAACTAGATTGAAACCTGAAGTGCCGGAGTGTGAAACTCCTGAATTTCTTATGATACAAAAAAATATAACTGTGTTTGAAGACTGCACTCGTAACCTCAATAGCACAAGAGGAATTAAATTACTGTGAGCAAACTGGGCTTGGGTTCTCACACAACTGCTCTGCAGCCCTGACCAAAGGCTTGGAGTCCCGTTGTCTGCCTTCTCTCTGGGCTCTGGCCCAGGTGCATGGTAACAGGGTGCAGCCCAGCCAGGACACAGCAGCGCTCTGCCTCCCTGGTGTACAGGGGACACACATCTCAAATCATTTTTCTTGCCTGGGTGCTACGGTCAGAATGGTTCTCTTCTATCCACACGCTGCAACTGTTAACCAGAATTTGTCCATCTTTGGAAATGCAAGTTATTTTGAACAGCGGGGCCCAAGCCCCACCTACTCCAGAAAGCCTGAAGTCACCAAGCTGCAAATAAAAATATCCAGAGGTGAATTTGTGGACTACGTGACCCAGCAGGTCTTTCACATCTAGAAAACTGAAATATTTTCTGTAATTTAACAAGTTATTGAAAGGTCAATCCAAAAAGTATCTGATAATAAAAGCACTCAGACATTTCTATTTCATCTCCTCTATTGATGGTAGTGTAGCTCAGCTCATGGAGACTTACCTCAGGCTATAGCTCACCCTACAACGCCTCATTCCTTGCTCACTTTTGTTAGTTATGTAGCATGCTGTGCAACATCAGCTTAGGTATTTTAAAAATACAAGTTTAAAAAAGTATCTGGTCTTCTTTAGATGTGGGAGGGAAGAGCAGTTCTCACCCTTCGGAGCATTCAAGCGATAGATGAAGAACTCTCCATCAGCTGTGCTTTGCAGCTGAAATGAGCAGACCATCCATAGGGAGGGGAAATCGTCTGACTTTGTAGCTTAACACCACGCAGAGACAAGAGGCAATACCTTCTAAAACGCACTTGCTCCACATGCACTGCATGGTTCCACCCCCAAACACTAACAAAGCTGGAGGTGCTGCCACTGTCATTTCAGTGTAGCCATATACCAGTCAGAGCATCTTTCCACAGCATCTGCCACCAGCACTACACACTATTTCACGTCAGGAAGTAACAATTACCTGGGGAAAAAAAAGGCAAACCAGGACTCTTCCAATACAGATTTAGCAGTAGAAGCATGCAGGAACTCCACAACATTGAAGCAACTAGATTTCTTGCTCACTTCCTGTCCCACTGACTTTTATAGCCCTGCTAGTTTTGAAAATGCTGGCACCTGAATCCAATTGTAGTTAGTTACCTAAGCAAGATGAACAGCATCTGCTGGAACAGCATTCCACACCAGAATAGGCTCATGACCTCCAAAGAGTTATAAATGCACAGACCACCTGTGAAATCCCAATCCTTTCACTAAATAATCCAGATTTTTTTAAAATTTACTGGGTTTGGTTTTTTTGGGGGGTTTGTTTGTTTGATTGTTTTTGTTTGGTTTTTTTTGTTTTTTGTTTTGTTTTGTTTTTAATTTATCCCCATTTCTTCCTCAAGGAAAGGCACTGTATTTGGCATTTTGAATGCTGTCCACAGCAGAGGTTATGGTGGTCTGTCTAAATACTAGCACATCCTAGATTTTAAAAATATGCCCACATCAAGGAAAGAAGCTGTGAGGAAAATATCACAATCAGCAAAACCTGGCAGAAGCCTGTAAAAATACACCAAATTACTCCCAGGGGTGTCAAACCAAGGCTCCAACACCCCACAGCAGGAGGGGATGCCTCTCCCAGCAAACCCACAGGAATGAGCACAGCTCAGAGTCCCAACAACTCCCAACAAAACTACCAGGACAAGCGCTGCTGCAGGATTGGGCCAACAATCTCCAACGGAATAAGCGCAGTGGTTTCTGACTCCTTTCCAAGTCAGTGTTTGTTGGGAAACATCAAAGCCAATGGAATAGTAGGTGTCCCAAAATGTCTTAATTCAGAGAATTAGTGTTAACTGAGTCTGATTAGCTCCATTTATCTCTAATTAATTACCTTTACCTAATTAGACACCCTGTTTCCAGTAGACATGGAGTCAAGTAGACTAGATTATTAGTGTAGTCATTGTGCCTTTACAAAATCCTGAAATTAATGAAACGTGCAAAAGAATCCACAGCTTTAATTGCACAGGTGTTGCCTTATGGCAAAGCTTTATCATCTGATTACACCAAGGGATTATTAGTGACTTTTTATATAGAGGATGAGCCTGTGAAATGTACCTTAGCAACAGCTCATTAGTTTAGGGTTGTTACTGTATTATTTATTACATTCAGCCTTCCCCATTATCTAGATTGATTCATGGACCTATATTTTCCTCCCCTCTGTGCAGGAAATAAATAAATAAGTGAAGGCTGGCTATTGCTGTCCAGCTGCAATATGAGGGGAAGGCAGAGTTTATTCTCCAGCTACCAATATCCACCCTTTAAAATAAAGCTTTAAAGTTGATTTAAATAAAACTCTTTTTTTTTTCCTCCCTCAGAAAAGTAATCAATTCAAGCTTCTGTCAAACTAGAATGCTTTCTACATGCCATCCAAGCAGTTTGGGACATCTTAAATCTTTTCAGATAAATAAAATTACATTACTGGATTGAAGAATGAAGTACAATATACTTAAACCAAAATAATTTTTTCAGCTATAACTCACCCTTTATGAAATCTATCAGAAATATTTTATTTTGATATTCTTTTAACTGTTTGGTTGTTGGCTACCTCTCCAGGTTTGGAAGGGCTTGCCAGGTAGAAAAACTGTCTGAATAATAGAATTAAGGCAAACAAAGGAAAGCTGCAAGCTCTGCCTTGAGAACCACTTTCCCCAAAGAGAAGCTATGTGCAGTCAAGGTTGAGAAGGCTTGACCTTACCTTTCTGCGTCCTCCTCAACAACATCCCACTGGACTTGCTAAATATTATTGGTACAACAGCCCTGGTGCTACCCCAAGCAGAGGAGGCTTCAGTGACCAACCAGCAATCCAGTAAACAAAAGTAGCCAGTAAACAAAATTATGAGGAATTGTTTTCCAAAATTATCCAGAAAACCAGATTCTTTGAATATTACACAAAACATTGCTGTCCACTTATTACTAAATATAAAAAAAAAGTGAAAAAATAATTGGTAACAATATCTAGAGTATGACAACTTATCTGAGCAGCAATAATGATAGTCCAGTTACAAACATGATTACACAACTTCTCATGTCTGCATTACAAAACAATAATTAAATTTTAATTTCAAAACTGTGGCTCTAACAGACAGACTTAGCACTTTTGCCGTGTGTTCATGTGGCACACGTGCAAATGGTGCCATCCTGCAATAAAGGCACACCATGCTCCACAGAAGCAAAGCAGCTGCAGGGCCTCAGATCCACCAAAGGTGTGGCATTGGCAAAGTATGAGCCACACTCCCAAAACTGCTTCCCAACACAACACACGTTCATTTTATCAACCTAAAACTTTTATTTAGTGTTATGTCCCAAGAGAGCCTATCCCTTGATGGTCTTGAAGGGATTCCATTGCCTTCTTTGTCCCTGGTGTCCCCAACAGGACATAAATGATCTCTCACCGTTGATCCCCAGAGACATCATTACAGCTCCCATTCTCTGAGCAAGCAGCATTGGACCTTAAAACATATCTGCATCCACCTGTTCACCTGTGGTGAAATCCCCTGGATCAGCACATACCTGGAGAGCAGGAGGTCCAGGGTTGACCCCTTTCTTTACAACTCCAGCAGCATGGGTGGTGAAAGCAGTGAGGGGAGCAGCAAGTTATCCAAGAGCTGGCAGGTAGGAAAGCACAGATGGAGAGAACAGGAGACTCAACATCGCTGAGGACTCCAGATAACTTACATTAGACAGTGTCAGAGACAACACTGGAGGAATGCCGAGAGTCCCAGATCCTCTCACACAGGCACCCACCATCATGGATGCTAACTAATTGGACAAAACATGGGGATAAACCCTGTCCTTGTGCTTGCATTCTGCTGTGGCCACATATCCCAGAAGTAATCCCTGGTTGTGGAAAAAATAAGTTACTTGTGAGGTGTAAGGGCCTTGTATCTACTTTCAAGTAGCATCCCAACTGGAATTTTTATTTTGCATTCATATCAAACCTTTCCTCCATACTCCCTGTTGGCTTCTCATCGAATACAGTAAGGTTCACGAACATTGTCTGTGCCTTCAGCACAGCCATGGAGCCATGCCCAGAGTGTACCAGTGATGCTGGGAAAAGCTGTCGCTCCAAGCTTCAGAAGTACCTCACACCAGTTTCAAGCACATCTCTGCAGAAAACAGCACTTTCTTAGGAACCAATCTGAAATACATGGAAGAAATTCCCATGAGATGGATGGTTCATGCTCCTCTCTCCACTTCCTCCTCAAAGAACTCTGACATTACCTTCAATAATGAAAACAAGCAGCACAGTAGACAAGAATGAAAGATATTAAATATTTATTTAAAGAACATAAACAAACAATTTTTCCAGTGGGAGGAAGAAAAATTACATGAGAGATGCTGGTCACATCACTTATAGGAGACAGCCCAGCAACCTGTGGGAGCAGGAGGACTCTACCACGACAAGGGAAGGGGAGCACCAGAAGCACCTTGTGCATGCAGACACCCACACCACGTCCCTGCAAGAACACTTCCAGAAAGCTAGGAAGCAGCCAAGGGCAGACCCCAAAATAACCACTACTGCTTTACCTCTGTGATCGTTCATAAGTCTCTAGTGCTTCCCAAAGGCAGGTATCACATGCTTCCCACCAGCTGGGAAAGTGGAACAGGGAGAGAAGGCCATTTATTGAAGTTACTGGGACCTGCAACAGCTCTTCATCCTCCAGCTTCCATCCTCTTTCAAAAGGCACATGCCTGTCTTTCCCAAGAGGTGCCATGTCAAGAGGGACTTGCTCTGCTGCTTTTCCCTTTGTCCCCCAGTGGCAGCCATGGGTCGGGTGCTGGTCTGTTTGATGAGCAGACCCTGGCGCACTCCTCCTGATGCTGGCACCAGTCCTTGAAGAGCTGGCTGGCACCAGCTGTTACAGTGAGCTCGGACAGACTGTCTCCCATTATCCAAGTGCCAACTATTTGGAGGAGCCAGACACCAGGCTGGCAGGTCTAATGGCAGCATGCATCCAAAGTCAGATAATGCTGTCCCCTGCTCAGGGGACAGACATAAGGCCTAGGTGGCCAATAAAGCCTTAGAAAATGAAAATTGACATCCAGGCACCAAGTAAGTAAGGACTGGTAGGTCAATGGGAGCAGACGGGGTAAAAAGTTACAAAACCACTACACATTTGAAGTAGATCCAGTAACATGAGTTGGGGCAAAGGAGTGTCAGTGTGGTCCCTAAAGATAGGAATTGGAGTCTCTCAGGCCCTGGCACCCCAGCCACAAGGTCCAGATAAGGACCATGCTAGACCAGGGACTTGGGGGTCCTTCCAACTTCCCCCCTCAGATGCCCCACAACACGCTGGCTGGGGGCTCATTGTCATGGTCCCAGGCTGAACTGGAGCTTGAACAGTCCATGATTTCTTTGCTGCTAGCTTCAAATGAAAACATCTCTCCTGGACTCCACCCTAGTGAAACAACAGTGCATAGATACCTTTATAATGTCCACTCCCAGTTAGCAGCAGAGCCATTCCCTGAGACTGGGAGGCTCAATGGCCCACAGCAGCTCCAGAAGACACAGTAGCTGCAGAGCCACCTCCACCCTCTCACCTGGCCCAGCAGCTCTTCCACCCCCACTTTCCTGACTCCATTCTCTAAGAGTATTTTTCATTTAATGGTACCCACTCACTTCTTCAATCACCCCACACACCTGGGCACGAGCCACTCACCACGATGAACAAGCAGACCCGGAGAGCCTCCACTTTCTCCACTAACAGAGACTGTGGCTTTTGGGGTGGCTCCTCTCTTCTCCTGCACCCCTATTTTTGGGGTAGGCAAAAAATGAAGCACGGGAGCGGGACAAGCCCTGGGTGCCCGTGCTGGGTGCAGTCCTGGGCCAGGAGCCAGAGCCGGGTCAGCCCCCAGGGATGCTGCGGCGGCCCCGCCGGCCTCAGCGGCTCCGTGGGGCGGTGACTAATTGCCCCCGTAAATCACCGCCCCGCGCCGCGCTCCGCCGTTTATTTTTCTGACAGTAATTTAGTGCTTGCTCTTTTCCACACTTGTCACCGCGTGTTTTTCC